CCAGGATCCAAACCCATGAACCCCGAGCTGCTGAAGCGGAGTGCAGGAACTTAACCACTATGCCACGGGCTGGCCCCAAGATGTATAATACATTTAATGTACTGTTTGATTTGCTTTGCTAATACTTTGTAGAAGATTCTTGTATCAGTATTCACAGGGGATATTGGTCTACAGTTTTCTTGTCTGGTGGTGTCTTTGTCTGGTTTTGCTATCAGGGTAGTAATGGCCTCATAGAATGAGTCAGGAAGTGTTCCCTCCGCTTCTGTTTTTTTGGAAGAGCTGGAGAAAGATTGATATTAAATCTTCTTTAAATATTTGATGGAATTCACCAGTGAAACCATCTGGCCCTGAGCTTTTCTTTGTTTGGAGGTTTTTGATTACTGATTCAATTTCTTTGCTTGTTATAAATCTATTTTTTTATTTTTATATTTTTTAGTATAAAACCGTTTGCATCTTTTTATTCAAAATGAAGTCAGGTCCAGTTAGTGCAGATGGCCCAAGCCAATGTTGATGAAACCACAGTTCTTGGTTTGGTCCCACTCAGGCATTAGACTTCTCTCTCTCTTTTGTTTTTTTTTATTGAAGTAACATTTGTTTATAACATTATATAAATTTCAAGTGTACATTTCTCTGTAGCCTACATCATGTTCACCACCCAAAGACTAATTACTACCTATCACCGTGCACATGTGCCCTGTCACCCCTTTTGCCCTTGTATAAGTCTGTTTAGACTTTATATTTCTTTTTCAAAGATTGGCACCTGAACTAACAACTGTTGCCAAACTTCTTTTTTTTTTTCCCTGCTTTTTTTTTTTCTCCCCAAATCCCCCCAGTACATAGTTGTATATGTTAGCAGTGGGTCCTTCTAGTTGTGGCATGTGGGACACTGCCTCAACTTGGCCTAACGAGTGGTGCCGTGTCCATGGCCAGGATCCGAACTCTGGGCCACTGAAGCAGAGCGTGAGAACTTAACCACTCAGCCCTGGGACCAGCCCTATACTTCTTCTTGAGTCAGTTTTGGTAATTTGTGTGTTTCTAGGAATTTGCCCATTTCATCTAGGTTATCTAATTTGTTAGGATACAGTTGTTCTTAGCTTTCTCTTATAATCTTTTTAATTTCTGTAAGATCACTAGTAGTATTCACTTTCATTTCTGATTTTAGTTATTTGAATCTTCCAAGCTTGCTTTGTTTGCTTTGTCAGCAAGGCTAAAGGTTTGTCAATTTCATTGATCTTTTCAAAGAAACGATTTTTGGTTTTGTTGATTCTCTTTATTGTTTTTCTATTCTCTATTTCATTTTTCTCCACTTTAATTATTTTATTATTTCCCTGCTGCTGCTAGCTTTGCATTTAGTTTGCTCCTCTTTTTCTAGTCCTTAAGTGTGGAGTTGTGGTTGATTCGTTTCTTCTTTCTAATGTAGGCCTCTATTGCTGTATATTTCCCTCTGAGTGCTGCTTTCACTGCATTACGTAATTGTTAGTATGTTGTGTTTTTGTTTTTATTTGTTCATAAGTATTTTATAATTTCTCTTGTGATTTCTTCTTTGGCCCATGGTTATTTAAGAGTAGTTTAATTTCTACATACAGTTGATCGTTATTATTCATGGAAGTCATATTTGTAACTTTACCTACTCACTAGAATTTATTTATAACCCAACAATCAGTACATTCACAGACATGTGAAGAGTGGCTAAAAATTTGAGCCAGCTGGTGTACATATTCCCAGCTGAGGTTAGACCAGACGATGCTCTGCTTTCTTGTTTCAGCTGTTATACTGTAAACAAGAATCCTTTTTGAGTCTATTTAGTGCTATTTTTTCACATTTTTGTGCTTTCTCTTGGTTGTTGCACTGTTTAAAATGGTCCCATGCACAGTGCAGCGGTGATGTCTGGTGTTCCTAAGCATGAGAGGACTGTGATATGCTTTACAAAGAAAATATACATGTGTTAGGTAAGATTCATTGAGGCATCAGTTATAGTTCTGTTGGCCATTAGTTCAATGTTAATGAATTAACAATACAGCACATCCAAAAAAAGGAAGAGGAAATAAATTCACCCATTTGTATGTAAGACCACCCTAGAAAGTGCCTAAGTAGTATCTGTAGTTGTGATGAACTATGGAAAAGTGGCTGAATTTGTGGATTCATGAGAGGACAACCAATTTTAAAAAAAGAAAGCATAGTGGACAGCATTGTTGTGAGGCTGAAAGCCAAGGAAATTTAAAGTCATGTTACCCGGAGTAAGGAAAGTGTTAAACTTGTCTTGGGTAGTGCTGGCTGGCTTGTACTTTTCAAAGGCAATGCAGCATGAAAAATGTTCAACTTGCAGGAAACTTGAGGCACAATCAAGAAGCTGCAGGAGAACTTTTTAAATGTCTGCGAAGTGTTATATAGGGAAAGGGCTGTGTGGAAGAGCAGGTTTTCAATGTTGATGAGACTGTCTTGTAGAACTATTTCTCTCTTCAATTATGTCAAGGTTTGCTTCATTTGTTTTGAGGCTTTATTTGGTGCATGTATGTTTATAATTGTTATATCATCTTAATGAATAAACCCTTTTATCAATATATACTGTCCTTCTTTGTCTTTTGTAACTGTTTTTAGCTTAAAGTCTATTTTGTCTGATATTTGTGTAGCCATCTAGCTCTTTTTTGGTTACTATTTGCATGGAATATGTTTTCTCATTTGTTCACTTTCAACTTATTTGTGTCTCTAGATCTAAAGTGAATCTCTTTAGGCAGCATATAGTTGAGTCATGTATTCTTATCCTTTCTGCAAATCTCTGCCTTTTGATTGGGGAATTTAAACCATTGCCATTTAAAGTAATTACTAATAAGAAATGACTGACTTCTGCCATTTTGCTATTTGTTTTCTGTACGTCTTGCATCTTTTTTGTTTCTCATGTCTTACATTACTACTTTCTTTTGAGTTTGATTTTTTTGTAGTATACTATTTTGATTCCCTTCTCATTTCTTTTTGTGCATATTTTTTAGATACTTTCTTTGGGATTACATGGGGATTACAGTTAAAAACTAGATATATTTTTAAAGTATACCTGATACTGTAAATAGATTGGGTGATAGATATGAATGAGAAAGTCAAGGATAACAAGTTGTTTGGCCTGAGGAATGGAACAATGGAAAAGCCATTTTCCAGGAAGGAGATAACTACAGGAATAGCTGGTCAGATGGGAAAGGGAAGAGAAATCAGGAGTTTAGGTTTGGTCATGTTACATTAGATGTTGACGTGGAGATATCAAGCAGCCAGTTAGATATACAAGTGTAGGATTCAGGAGTGAGGTCCCAGCTAGAAACGGAAATTTGAGTCATGAACATATGGATTATGTATAAATCCCTGAGACTAGATGAGATCATTAAGGAAGTGAGTATAGACTGGGAAATGAAGTACCTTTAGAATTAAGCCCTGGAGCCCACTTTACTAAGGAGTTGTGAAGAAAAGGGGAACTAACAAAGGTGACTGAAAAGTAGTCTGTATATATTTTATATATTTGTAATAGATTCTATCATTTCCTGGGAAAGAATAATTCTGCATAAATCTGTTTTCCTTCTAGTCACATCTAAATGAGGACAGTGGTTCTAAATGTGTTTTTAGAGACAGTTTAACATAAAATTAAAGGTAAATGTAATCTGGATATTCTTAGATATACAATAAATGTGCCAGGTGAATTGGTTATTAAGCATAATTCTTCCTCCCTCCACAGGATCCCACTTGAGAAATAGTAGTTTTATTTAGTCTATCTAGATTGCTTTAGCCATTAAGGTCTGTGGTCTCTTTTATCTGTTTAATGTTAACTCATGAAAGACTTCTTTGATACTTTGTGATTCAGAATTCTATTATTCATTGGGGAGTAAATGTGAAAGTCATATCGTTGGAACTAGATCTGGTGGTCTCCAAAATATTTCTTTCCAGAAAAATACCTAGAGAAAATATTCTGAAGGTAGAGACTAATGGCTGAAAAAAAATCAACCAATCAATAAAACTAAAAATGACTTATTCTTTTCCCAACTATTCACTTTACTCCGGTGAGGTATAAAGGTGCTCTGGAATAGGGGAAAAGGAAAATAAAAAGGCTTGTAGTTTCTTTCTTAGCCTCTGCATCTAGCTTACTTGTATTTCTAACTTTCCCATTTAAACACCTTGAACATAACTCAATCCATATTTATTCAGGTTTATTAAGTTCAATTTCATCGTTCCTACTCAAAAACTCTCCTTTTCTCCTACCTTCTGCCCTAGCTTTTGAGACTCTACAAATGAATTTTTCTTCAATCTGTTGTGTACAAAGATTTCCCATCAATAACTTTGTCTATTTTTACTTCCTTATGGAGTCTAAGTGAAAAAAAAGAAAGAAGAGGGAAGCATAGGAAAGTTTCTCAGTAGTTGTTGACTTCTGTTTGACTCTCCTTTGCTATTCACAGTCTTCAAAAAATTCACAGAAAAATTAAAAGGCCTGAGTGCCTGCTACAGAGGCAGAAGCCAGTGTTATCTCTCACCTGGATTGTGCCAACAATCTCCTGACTGGTCTCTTTCCATCCTTGATCCCTTATTGTCTAATCTCAACATAGCAGCTATCATGGCGCTGCTCTGCTCAAAACTCGGCAGTGGCTCCCCATTTAACTCACACTAAAAGTCAAGTTTCTTACAGTGGCTTCTTGGGTTCTGCTTGATTTGGCCCCCATTACCTCTCTCTGCTCCAGCCACACTAGCCTCCTTGCCAGTCACATTTCCTCATTAGAGACTTTTCTCTGCCTGACCTCCTTGCCTGATATGTGTTCTTCCCTCAGATATCTGCTCAGCGAATTCTCTCACCTCCATCCAGTCTTGCCTCAAGTTTCAGCTTCTCAGTAATGCCTGCACTGACTGTCTTGTATTTAATACTTTAACCTGCCCCACTCACACTCCCAAACTCCTGATCCTAATTCTATTACTGTTTTAGTTACAATAGGCTTGGTTATGCTGTGGCAATGACTTAACCCCCAAATCTCAGCTTAACAACAAAAGTTTATTTCTCATTTGTGTTACATATTCATTATGAATTAGCAAACTTAGGACCTCAGGAACCCAGGCTGATGGAAGTTTACCCTTCTTTTCATCTCAACTTGTGACTTCCAACATCACATCTGGAGGGAAGAGAGAGTTCATAGAATGATTGAAAGTAGCATAAGTTACTGTTTTCCAACTCATTGGCCAAAACTAGTCACATGGTCCCAATCTAACTGCAAGTGAATCTGAAAATATAGAGGAGCACAAGGACTGTTTGATGAACATTACTGTTTCTTCAACCACCTGTTCTCTTTTTATTTCTACATAGTACTTCTCACGTTTTCTTATACAATTTATATGAATTTACATATCATATAATTCACATATTTTTATGCTTACTATTTAGTACCTCCCCCCAGCAAGAATGAAAGCTTATTCTCCTAGAAAACCACGCTACTCACAGTGTCTTTCACACAAACCTTTGCTTATGGTGTTTCTGCTGTTTGTAACACCCTCTTATCTTTTTTGCCCTCTGCTCACTCTTTTTCTCTAAAGACTAAATCCTACTCATCTTTCAGGATAACTTGGATCTTACTTAATCTGGGAGACTTTGTTAACATCCTTAAACTATGTTAATTGCCCATTCCTTAGACTCCCTCTGGGCTTAGTGTATACTCCTGTCATAGCACTTACCTCATGTATGGTTACGTCTGTCTGCCCCATTAACCAAGTTTCTCATGCATATGGAAGAAGGGCTGGAGAAATAGGTAGAGCTTAGAAAAGAAATTATGAGGATCTGAACAAGGGCACCGTAAGTAGGATGGAGAAGAGATGACAGAATCAAGGAATATTAGAAGGTAAAATCAGCAAGACTTGATTATTGGTGAAATATGAGGGATACGGAAGGAATCAAGGATAATTCATGTTTCTCCTTTAGATTATTGTGTGTATTATGATGTTTCCTTATGAAATAGGGAATCTGAGAGGAGCAACAAGTTTGGATAGGAGGATGATGAGTTTGGTTTGAGGTACAGTGGGTTTAACTCCATAGGGACCTGAGGGTGGAGGTATGTCCAGGAGTTGACTGTATGGTTCTCAAACTCAGGGAAATGGATAAGTCTTCAGCATGCTAAGTAGAGGTTACAAAATAAGAAAAGGTGAGACTGCCAATAACTATTAAGGGCAGAATCCTTATATAACCGCTGTTTAAGGAACAAGAAGAGGAGGATATGCTCTTGTGTGGGAGATACAGAAAAAAAAAACAAATAGTGAAAGGGGAGCCAGGAAAGTGTGATGCTCTGGAAATCAAGGATATTTAGAGTTTCCAGAAGAAAGCGATGGGCCACGTTAAATGCAGTAGAGAAGTCAAATCAAAACAACTGTGTAGGGGCCGGCTCCGTGGCCGAGTGGTTAAGTTTGTGCGCTCCGCTGCGGCGGCCTAGAGTTCGGATCCTGGGCACGGACATGGCACCGCTCTTCAGGCCATGGTGAGACGGCGTCCCACATCCCACAACTAGAAGGACATGCAACTAAGATATACAACTGTGTACGGGGGGGGGGGGAGTTGGGAAGATAAAGCAGGGAAAAAAAACAAAAAACAACTGTGTACTAAATTCTTACCCTTCTTCTTAAAACCATATTTAATTCCCTTCTTGCAACCCCACTTCTTATTGAACCACCTTGGATTCTTACTGATTTGAACCACCTTGGCTTCAGTTTCTTCAGAAATTTGAAGTCATCAGGCATAAAATGCCTCAAATGTGCTCCTCCCTTTCCCTTACACACTTACCCCTATGCCCATCCATCCTTTCCTCCTTCCCTCTAATCTCAGGAGATTCAAAGCCAACTCTTAAACTAGTGCCACTGAGACCAAGAGTTGTCTACCTTTTGGGTTTTTTTCCTTACTGTGGCTGTCTGCTCCCAGTATCCCACCAAAATTTTTCTCGGTAAGCTTACCATTTGAAATTTTAGTAGGGGGGACAAAGTGGAAAACAAATTACAAAGTGTTGCATATTGAATACGAGATGGGGAAGTGCCAATGGAAATTGCAGATAGCAGTCACTAATGGAAGTGAGAGAGAGATCACGCCCAGTCCTTCTCCCCAGGGAAGTGAAGGCCCTTCGTGGACCAGATCCAGGCACTATTCCAGAAGTGCTTTCATTTTGGAGCCGTATTAAAAGTATGTCTCCTACCTGTTTTTCTTCTGTAGCAAGCCAGTGATTGAATCTTTACTGTAGAAGCAAAGATGAGCCAGCTCCCACAATGAAGAGTGTAGAAACATCAGATTTTATTCATTTGTTCATTTGTGCAAAAGTATTTCTTGAATGTCTGCTGTTGGCTATGCCTAGGGTTACGTGCTGGGAATAAAATGGGGAGTAAAAACATATAGTTCTTGTTTCCATGGAGTTTTATAGTATAGTGATTTGTTTTTTATTTGCTTGTTTATATTTAACCTAATTTATTTAACTAATTTTACTTTTTTTCCCCTTTAGTATCCTCTTATATATGGACTGATTCTTGTTCCCTGCTGGTGTTCTCTAGTTTGCCTAAGTAGAATTTACATGGGAATGCACTCCATTCTGGTAAGGAAAATATTGTGTTCATAGAGTTTTATTTTTTTCTGAAATTGATAGGCAATTTTATACTTTTTAACCATTTGAAAACTTATATGAAAACTAAATCAGAAAATATAGTTATTGTAAATCTTTCGTGTTTTGCAAAAATATTAACATGATGCTGTCTGAAGTTTTAATATCATAATGATGTCTTGCATAGAAACAGTTCCTAACCACCACAATAACCAAGGAGTATACTCAGGATAACCCTTCTCCCTCCTTCCAGTCTCAGTTGTATTTTCCTTCTCATTCTCTTCTGTGCTGAGTCAAAACCAACCATCCGAATACAGAAACCAAGAAGAGCCCTGCTTGTTCATGAGGACCCAGTGACTAGTGACTAAATGAATTTAAACGATCCTGGTGCCACTTAGATTCACATATTAAACTCTAGTTTTTTCCTCTTTCTGAGGAGTATTTTAGGGCTAACATCAGATATTTTATTTTCAAAAGCAGCAGCACAGGGACCCTGCACTCCTTTCAGCCACATCTATCCCCTTCTTCCTCCTCCATCCCTGTTCACGCTCCCTGAGTCCTGGCCTGCTTCATCTCTAAACCAGGTTACTCCAGCAGCTTCTTAATGAACAGCCTTCCTTCCAGTCTGACACTGCTCCCTGCAGTCTTCAGTCTCCTGTTACAGTGTTCTTCCCAAACACAAATATGATGCCATACCGAATGACTTACGTTTCCTCAAATGTAAAGGGTTTTTCTTACCTCCATGCCCCAGGAATGCTGTAACCTCCACTTGGAATGCCCTTTTTTCTCTCTTAGCCTAGCTAACTATCCTATCCATTCTTTAAGAATCACAAAAATGTTCTTATCTCCTAAAAGCCTCCTTATATTCCCTGTCTTTCCTTTCTCAAGACTGGTTAGGTGACTCTTCTCCCAGAACACCCTGAGCATAATTCTGGCATAGCACTTGTCCTAAACTGCCATTCATTTTTTGGTTATCTATTGCTCCCACTAGGTAATAAGGAACATGAGAAAAGTAAGTGTATGTTTTCTCTCTCTATCCTTTGCATATAGTGCTGTGTTTCTTAAGACCTCTATGAATGTATTATATATTATCTTGTAGATAAAGGATCAGAAAAAAGGTGGAGAAATATGAATTAATTCCTGGAATCCAAAATTTTCTAAAGGGTTATATCGAATTTTTCTTATCCTTAACAACTTTCACTTTTAGAATTTTCTACTCATAAAAATACCTCATTAGCTTTTGTCATACTGTAGAAATATTGGGTTTCTATTTCCAACTTAGATTGTTTGCCTCCAGCAGCTACCCCTTCACTAGTAAATTTCCAGAAGTCTCAAATACTATGTTAATAAGCAAGTTATTTGTTTGACTTTTTATAGTTATTTATATTAATATAAATTGTGAATTTATGTACAAATCTTTCTAACTAATCTCTACCAATTTTATAATGAGACTAACTATCAGTTTTATATCAAATCTAATATTTGTCACGAGACAATGTTGTCCATCATTGTGCCTTAATCCTTTCCACTCCTAAAAGTTAATTTCTAAAAAACTACCAAATGGTTATGCATCTCTGAATGATAAAAAATGAATCCTCATATTTCTTAAAGGAAAAAATATTAAATAATATTATCCTTAGATCCATTATCCTCTTTGATGGATATATAATCTTTGAATATATAATCTTGAAGATGCTCTTCTTTAAAAAAAGAAATGTTTAGTGGATTGGTCAAATATTCAAGCTGAGTTCAGTTCATTTTTTATATCCTGGAAAATGTCTATTCTTGAATCAGCTGGACTAAAAACAATATTGATGTATTCAAATCATGAGTCTGATAACTCTAGTCCTTTATTCAAAAACCATCTTGTTGCATAGAACGTTTTATCAGTGTTATTCAGACTAGCTACTGAATTTTATGTATAACATTACAAATTTTTGTTTTTCTTTTCAAAGTAAAACCACAGATGACTTGCAAGCATGGTTATGATTCTGTGTTATAACAACCGTTTGTAATCAATAATATATCATCACTTGATAATTGATATATGAAATTGTACCCATAAGAAACCCATGTGTTTTTTGTTTTATTTTATTTATTTATTTTTTGAGGAATATTAGCCCTGAGCTAACATCTGTGCCCATCTTCCTCTATTTTATATGTGGGATGCCTGCCACAGCATGGCTTGCCAACCGGTGCCATGTCTGCACCCAGGATCCGAACCGGCGAACCCCAGGCTGCTGAAGTGGAATGTGGGAACTTAACTGCTGCGCCACCAGGCTGGCCCCATACCCATGTTTTTTACATTATGGGTCTAATATATTCCCACAATTTTCACTTTTTCCTATATTTTAATGTTTCACTAATTACCTGCATTTTGAACTATTTTCTTTTTTTCTTTTTAAAGATTTTATTTTTCCTTTTTCTCCCCAAAGCCCCCCGGCACATAGTTGTATATTTTTAGTTGTGGGTCCTTCTCGTTGTGGCATGTGAGATGCTGCCTCAGCATGGCTTGATGAGCAGTGCCATGTCCACGCCCAGCATCCAAACCAGCGAAACCCTGGGCCACAGAAGCGGGGCGTGCAAACCCAACCACTTGGCCACGGGGCTGGCCCCCTTGAACTATTTTCTTAATCATAATTTATATCTTCACTGTGTATTGTGAGGTTAGTGTGCAACTATAGGCAGAATGTGCCCTAGAAGTTGCTAAGAGGTGCTTGGATACCATATTATCCAAGCTGATTTCTTCATTAACATCAAGAAGAGAGTTCCAGTAATGTGTTCTAAATAATTTATAATGAACACTTCATTAGGTATTTGCCATATGCTTTGTTTTTATTGTTACAACACAAAGAGCCACAGCTTAGTTTATTTTTAACATCTAACTACTTTCCTAAATTGATTTTCTTAATTCCTAGAAAAGTAGGGAAGAGTTACTATATCCATCTTTTAAAACATTTATTATCACACCTACCTCTCAAATTTAATTTCTTAAAACACAACTGATTTTTAAGTTACTATGTTGAGCACTTGTCAAGTTACTGTTTTGTTTCTACATTAGTAAAATTATGAATGTTGTAATTATATTTACCCAAAATTGCACTAAAAGTTTATATGTCTATATATGGAAAGTCTTTTTAGAAAGGTATTGTGAGAGGGCTGTCGCCATGGCACAGTGGTTCGCCAGTTCGGATCCCGGGTGTGGACATGGAACTGCTTGGCAAAAGCCATGCTGTGGTAGGTGTCCCACGTATAAAGTAGAGGAAGATGGGCATGGATGTTAGCTCGGGGCCAGTCTTCATCAGCAAAAAGGGGAGGATTGGCAGTAGTTAGCTCAGGGCTAATCTTCCTCAAAAAAAAAAAAAGGTATTATGAGATTATGAAGTAGTATGTACCTCTCAAACCCACTTTTATAATAAGAAATAAAAAACCAACTAAATAAACTAAAAAACCCCAAAAACATGTTAAAGAGAAACATCTAGAATAGTATACAGTAAGAGTTTTAGTAGTGGTTATTCCTGGGTAATAACTGCTTGTTATTTTTTATTTTTATTTTTTGAGAAAAATTAGCCCTGAGCTGACTGCTGCCAATCCTCCTCTTTTTGCTGAGGAAGACTAGCCCTGAGCTGACATCTTCTTCTAATTTATATGTGGGACGCCTACCACAGCATGGCTTGCTAAGCAGTGCCATGTCCACACCCGGGATCTGAACCAGCGAACCCCAGGCCGCCGAAGTGGAATGTGTGAACTTAACTGCTGCACCACTGGGCCGGCCCATGCTTGTTATCGTTTATCTGTATTTCCTAGTTTTTCTATAGTGAGCAGGTATTAAATTTGATTTTTTTTTTTTTTTTTTTTGGTGAGGAAGATTGTCCCTGAGCTAACATCTGTGCCAATCTTCATTTATTTGTTGTATGTGGGACACCACCACACCATAGCTCGATGAGTTGTGTGTAGGTCTGTGCCCAGCACCTGAACCTGTGAACCCTGGGCTGCCAAAGTGGAGCACATGAACTTAACTGCTACACCAGGGAGCCTGCCCCATAAATTTGAACTTTAATTAAAGAAGATAAAAATTTCAAAATCCATCCTTAATAATGCCTTTTTTGTCAAAAGCAATGCATTTCAAAAATATATTTTTTGTTAGAAACTCTGTTGGCATCAGTGGCATATTGAAATTACAAGCAGGACACCTGAAATGTGTTATAATTTTAAAAAAAAAAACAACCCACTAGGAGATGACAGGAGTCCTGAATTCTAGTCCCAGCAAATTACTAGCCTCTCTAGTTCTATTTCCTCATCAGGAGAAAAGAAAAGGAGAAAATTCCATATTTAATACATAATAAATATTTATTGAATCTATGATATTTGATATCTTCTACCATAAATTTGATGATAACCTGATTATAGCATTCAAGTGTGTAATTATTAACTTTTAGAGCATATAAGTTATTTATAATTAATAAGTATCTAAAATTATTTGCTAAGTTTCTTTTTGGAAAATTTGCTACTTTGAGTTCTTTTTGTTACTTTTAACATTAATTTTTCTTTATTGCATACTTTGTGCTATAATGCTTAAAACCACTTAGTTGTACATTTTAATGTTATACATTAAATTGATATCACAATAGCCACTATGTTTATGTCCTGAACTCCGTCATTCCTTTGTTCTGGTTCTGTTGCATGGAAGTTCAATATACCTTTACTATCCAGGGTGATATCATACATAATTAATAACTCAATCAGAAAAGGAGGCAGATTTGTATAGAGTCTTGTAGCAATCTGAGTTTAATGTTCATGGAGCTATACATAAAAAGTACAGGACAAGAAATACTGGATGTTTTATGTCACACTGAAACATACTTCCAAAAATGTAATTGATATGCGTTGTCA